GTTAATTAGTTTCACTCATGATTCCACCTAAATAGCTCATGAAAGACTGTTCTGGCAATGTCACATGTACCCCTATTTTTATAAATGGATTTGGAAATACCAGTAGCAATTACATGTTGGGAATACTTAGCTCACTTCAGAGGCTGTACTTTACTTGCACTGTATGAATGTCCCATGGCCCCAGCACGTGTGTGTCTGTATTTAATAAATATCAGTATAATCACAACATTAATTCTCTTTTCACTTAAAGTGCTGGCTGAGAAATGTACTTTTCATGTTTCCAAATGTTCTGTAGAACACCTGGTTCCTCCTTCAGTCCGCACACATTTGTCTGACAATTATGGAGTGCAATGCGACCAGGCACTTTGCCTTCTTTTTCTTTGTGCAACAGATTTGGGATGAAATTCCCCAATTTGCCCCTGTGCCAGGGCTCATTCCAGGACTGGAGGTGACTGTCTTACTCCAGTGGTGTTGCTCTCAGAGGTGTGCTCCCAGCAGATGCCATTGCAGGTCATTCCTCAGTGGAGTCCTCTGGTAGCAAGTGCCCCTCGTTCTTTCTTACTACATCTGTAAGGATGACCTGTTGGTCAGATGCTTGCCCATGTTTTTGCCATTGTTTACAGGCTGGTGTTGATCCATATCATAGAACAGGGCCAGAGAAATTGGTTTATGTAATTCAATATGAACCACACTGCAGAAGTTAAGATTCCATTATTGGCATGCCTTCCTGCCTAAAAGCTGGAAAGCTCCATATATGAGCTACTATCACCTTGGAAACAGTCAGAAAAGAAATACCAACTGCCTGCAGAAGCACAGTGCACAGACACAGAGCAAACTGAACTGTCCAGTTCTACTAAGTTTCAAATTGATCATGAAGTGGTACTAAAGGAATGGCACTGAAATGACTCTAAATTTAATTCACAGTAAGAAAAGAGTAGGATTTTGATTTATACCTGTTTGCTCTGTTACCCAGTTTCTCAGAGATGTATCACTGGTGGTCAGTGCCTACAAAATCCATAAGAGCAGCCAAAGTGTTTTTGTACATGTGGATCTTAAAGCTGGAGTAGTCACTGACTTCAGTTGACAGCTGCAAGTTGTGGATTGGGAGATAAGAACTAATTTAGCATATTCAGAAGAACTGCAGATACTTTCTTCTCACATCTATATGGGAAATAAAAATCTAGATTGCCTTTCTCTAGTGACAAATTATTCACTCCCACAAAGTAATGGCCAGTGGCCAGGAGATCATGTAGTCAGATGTATCTGGTAGTGTGCACTCTGAAATGACTCCTGCTGATTGGGACTGTTGTAAAACTACAGTAACAAAACATCTGGTATACCTGAATTCAGTTGGATTAACAATTTGAACTTTGTTCCTCTTCAGAGTGACTACTACATCTACACTTCCTAAAGAACAGCAACTCAATTTCTAATCAGCTCCCAAAGCTGTCTCTGGCAGTGCCCATAATCCATTGTGGTTTACAGCAAAGGTGCAGATCAGCTATTCTTTTTTGACTCGAGCACTGGTTAGTGTTTTAGAAACCTTAGAGGTTAAACTCATTTATTTATTGCTAAAACTAGTTATCATATTTTGTTGTTGTTATGAAAATCATCCAAACAGTTGTAAACTGGGATTGAATAAATACCGTGAATAAAAATATCACAAGAAACTGAACATCAGTGATATTATCAGGTGTTCTTAAAAGTGTTTTCTTGAGGGGAAAAAGACATGTTTGGATCTTTTATGTTCTGACTATTGGAGTGTGAGAACTGGGAGGTTCAGAGTTAACTAGCATTATATCTGTTCTAGATCAGCAGAGAGAGCTATACAGCTAATCACTGCGTATTTTTAGCCTACATTTTGTAGCTTTAATCCTGCAAATGTCTGTATGTAATTTGTTTTATGTAATATGAATAGATTCCATAAAATCAAGATTCCACCATCCATAGAGCTAAGAATGTCTAAGTATTTCTAAAGAATTAAGACCTATAGTATAAGTGTGGGACAATGAATTGGTCACTGTGAGTAATATATGCTCTATACTGTGGGTGCCAGTGGAAATAAATACTTAGGTTAGCAGCATGTGCATGGTACTGAAAAACCAGACTTTACTTCTCCGAGCATCTATAAAAAACTACAGAAACATTCTTTACATTTAGGAGCATGTCCTGGGTTTAGCAGTAGCGGTCAGTTTTTCTCCTTCTTGGTAGCTGGTGCAGCACTGTGTTTTGACTTCAGCCTGGGAACAGTGCTGATAATACTGATGTTTTCAGTTGTTCCTAAGTAATGTTTACCCTAACCAAGGACTTTGTGAGGCTCATGCTCTGCCAGGGGGGAGGGGAGGCCGGGAGGGAGCAGAGACAGGACACCTGACCCAGGCTAGCCAAAGAGGTATTCCATACTACAACACGTCATGCCCGGGCGGGTGTTACCTGGAAGGACACGGGCTTCTGAGTCCCACTCGTTTCTTGGCGGGTGGTATTGTATTCTCTTCCCTTGTTATTTTCTCTTAATCATTGTTGTTGTTCTTGGTAGCGGTGGTGATTTGTGTTGTATATTGGTTGCTGGACTGTTCTTGTCTCAATCCGTGGGAGTTGCACTCTTTCGATCCTCCTCCCCATCCCTTCGGGAGTGGGGAAGGGGAGACCCCCTGGCGTGGATGGGTGGGTGGGTGGGGCTCGATTGCTTCCAGCCCAGCACCACTCACTGGGAGTGAGTGAACAAGCTGTCTGGCTAGGGTTTAAACGACGACAGAGCATTTTCAGTTAAATACATCTGAGGATGCCTTCTGTCTCTGTGTACAGACCAGTGTGTATTTAGGTACAGAGCTTTGCTAAAAGACTGATGTCCCATTGGTTTAATGATAGAATTACTTTGAATCTTTGAACACCTGAATTTCTCTAGCATGCCATTTAGGCCTAGTGCCAGCAGTAAAGGGACAAGAATCTGCTTTGCTCTGAATTGAACTGCACTGTCCCTTAACTGTCAAGGTAATACAAGAAATAGAAAAGGAACCTAGTTATTACCAATGAAGAGCTAAAATCTGGTAACCAAACACACAGCAGTGAACAGAAGATTCTTCTGAGGAACAAAGTATTCCGAGACACATGTTAAATATAGATATTTGGCTTTGTTGTGAAAAATACCAAAACATCATCTAAATAATTTAAAATTTAGTGATTTTATGTATACTTATAGTGTATTAAGATGTTACAAGGAACCTCAGACCCAGCAGTTTCTGCTGAAGCTAAAGGAAGCATTCAGAATGTGACATTACAAATGGGCACCATGATCAGTACACAGGCTTTTTGCTATAAACTTTAATTAGTAACTAATGGTGACATACTATTGTCAGAATAGTCCAGGCTTACTTCAGAGAGGACATTTGAGACAGCTTCATTCTGGATTGAAACTCGGAACTTTTCAGTATTCTAAAGTGTGTGTACTCCAACCTCAAATCTTTATAAAGTCAGGCAAATTCGCTAAAGATTATTTCTAATTATAATGCCACCAACTTGCTTAAAATTTATAAATGCATGTAGAATGAACACTAAGCTGAAAAAACCTCATTAAATTTACCTGACATCACCTGAACTGGTGCTCAAGACAGACTGGGCAGTGCCCCTGGCACAGTTGCTCACCTGTGTGGTAACTTGCACCAATGCCACCAGAAGCGTTAATGCTCTCGGATCTCTCAAGTGCCAGTCATCTTTTGGGAGCACGTGTTAAAGCTCACAGAAATGTACGAGAACACTTGCCAGTCCAAACGGGAAAGATGCTGTGTGTTGCAGTGGCTCATATTTTAACTTACACTACTGAAAGTAAAATCATCGTCAAGCAAGAAACCCCTGACCAACTGTTCAGCTGTTTCAAATCTCTGTATTCACTGGTTTGATTAAACCCGTGCATTCCGCCCTGCGCTCTGCGGATTTAGGAAAGGGCAATCTTAGAGGCGGGAACTCGCTGTGGGGAGCTGGGCTCGCGCTCTGTCAGGAGGGCCCGCCCGGCGCGCACCACCACCCCGCATGCCGAGGGGGTTCCAGGCAAGCAGCTCCGCCCTCCAGCAGCGGCTGCAGGAGACGCGCTCCCCCCGGCGCCCCTGCTACTGTCTGCGGTGGTTTGCTCCGTTGCCGTGGTAGCGGCGCTAACGGTCGTCAAGCGCGGCAGTGGAGCTGAGTGGCTGTGGGGGCAAGATTTGAGGTTCTGAGGTGAGGGCGGGCGTTGCCACAGTAGGTGTGGGGTGTCCCTTGTGTGGGGTGCCGCTGCCTGACAGTGGGGATCCCGTGTCGGGATGGTGTCTTGGCATCTGTCGCTGGCCAGGGGTTTCCTTGCGGAAGGCCTTCGGGCCTCGCGCCATGCTGTACATTTTTAATTTACCCACAGCTCTGTTGTGTCGGTGTTGGACTCGTGCTACCTGACAGTGCAGTTCAGCAGAAAGTATTCTGGCTGCTGCTGGCGCATTGGCAGCTTGTTTTATGTTTGTGTTACTTTTTAGCACCGCTGGCGTGCTTAACTGTAGCCTGTTGCAGGAATTCTGTCTTGGCTTTAAGGTGGTTCTTACAATTTAGCCTACCCTGTACTTCAGAGTCCATGGAGTGTTTTCTCTGTGCCAAACAGGATAAAATAGATCCTCTCTTCTAGTTCATGTTTTGAATTCTGCAAAAGGATTCACAGAAATGCACTCAAAGCTGAGCCATCACCTTCATTAAAATCAATCAGATGTACAAGCTTCTGTATTAGTAAAAGATCTTAATGAAATGCTCAACGATGTGGTAATAACTCATTCTAGATGATATATAGAATTTGCTGAATTCTAATAAATTTTATCACTATTTGAGAATGGTTTACCTAACAGTGGATGGCTGCATAGGATACAAGAGCAATCGGAGTTGTTCCGTAACCATTCTGAGTAATGTGGTTGCTAAGTGGATAAAATACATTCAGGTTTGTTTTGTTATTGAACTGATAATTATAAAATCCAAGAACTAAAACGGCAGTGTCCTTGCTTCTCTATAAGAGATCTATTGAAGTGGATACTCATAATGTGGGACTGGTGCAAAGGTTTGTGCTTGTATCCAGTTCTTTCACATGCATTAAGTAATTAATGCTATTAAATCATCTCAAGGGATAGTCGCCACTACTGTGAGTTCCTAGAGATTATATATCTATAAAGTATGAGTTCTTTTCTTTCTCAGCCTGGTTGATTTGAAAGGACTACCAGTATGGAAGATAATGAGAGCAGTTACAGTGAGGTAGAAGAGCAAAAATCTTCTCTACCATTTCTGGAAGAGGAAGCAAAAGAAGACAAAGCTGGTCAGCTCTATAATGTGGAAGAATGGTGGAAAGGTGAAAATGAGGAATTATTTTGCTAGCTCACCAAAATAAATTATTTTAATATTTTAAGTACTTGTTTTAATATCTATTAGAATCCAAGGTTGAAGAAGAGTTGACTGGTGGTGGCAAGATGGGAAACAAGGACACCTCTGAACGAGTTGGAGACAAACCTGGTTCTAGCATGTAAATAACTTGTTACTGTTTCTAACAGAACTTCCTTTAAAGTGTTAACTTACCTGGTTAATTCAGCTGTATGTCTGTTGTTCGATTAGTCATAGGCTATACAGACCTCTCCACAAAAAAAAAAAAGTTGATGATTGCTATTAAAACAATGAGCTGAGTAAGATTAAGACATTTATAATCTGAAGCTGTTGTAGGTATGTACATAGAACACAATGATTGCACCACGTTAATGTGGGCTAATTAGCTTTCCTCAAAGGAGTATTACACTAATCAGTGTTTACACTTTTAAAACCCATCCAGCTCTTTGCAGTGATGCATAGTGTTTGGTTTGTATTCCTCTGTGCTTTTGTAGAACATTAGGAGCTGCTGGAAGAAGACAAGCTGGGCTGCTGAAGTGCTGCATTGTCATTTTTCTTAATTTTTCTCAATTAGCACAGAATTGGCACAATGACAGATTAGTACTACACTGATTTTTATAAGTAGGTGATACAGAGGATTTATTCCTGAAGTAATAAATTGACATATAACAGAGGTCGTGAATGAACAGGAATTTAGTGGTTTGAACGTGGCCTTAAGTAGTTGCTTCTGTCTTCACAAATATGAGTCCATGTTTCGGCTTGCCTTGACAAGACTGTTAATTGCTGTTCTGGAATGACCTGGCATGATGAAAGTTTCCAATAATGGTTATTAATATGTGTATGTGGGAAGTTGTGTAGCACATATACCTACTGCCAGTAAATGTTGGCGGTTTTACCATTATCAACAGAGAAATTCAAATGCATCAAAATGATGTAAAAGTCCCCAAACCTTCAGACCTCTTCTTGGTATATGTTTAAGCAAACCGAAATGGTAAGAGAGATTAGCTCACCCCACAAACCCATCAGCTGTATATAATGTTTTAAAATAGTTTAGGACGTTCCCTCTAAAGTTTTAAACTATTATTCAGGAAAAGTAGAATCTGTAAACCCCAGCTATAATCAAGAGGAGCCACAGGCATTTCAAAGCTGAGACATATAATTAATACATTAACTGTGGGTCTAAAATGTCCAACATTAGATACCCAAGTCTAAAAATTTCAGGTTAAGTGCATTTAGGTAAACTTGTACAGATTATGTTTGTTTTTTTCCTTATTTATACTGGTCATATTTGTGACTGTTCTGCTAGCACAAGAGTAAAACAGAAAACAACCCTCAAATATGTAAGTGGATGATGTACAAACTTCATGTAACTTTTCCATTTCTTATATTTTCATGTGCTTCAATTCAAAGGGAAAGCTTGAAACAAAATCTGGGTGACATTAATAATATTCAGGCCATGAAGCATAAAGATAGAATCTGCTTATTGCGCTTACAGAGGAACCTAAAAGAGCTCAATGACATAGCCAGAAAAAAGGAACTTGAGGTCCAAAAACACAGGTTAGTGTTTAAGTAAACATAATCCATCAGCATAAATCACCATCCAGTACTGGGATACTGCATCTCTTAAAAATATTAGAGTTTATAGATTCTTTTCAGGACAGTAATGTGATGCAAACACTTGGTTAATATAATATATTCAATATATCCCAACCCCTTGTAATGAATTAAGGATCAAGGATAAAATTTAATTATGTACTTGAAAAAATTAAATACAGAAGTGAATGTTGAAGAGGAGGTGTTTGGTCTGGGAGAATTTGATGTGAATTAGATGTATGCATGATCGTGCTGGTTCAACAGTCAGCTGGAAACATCAAGTGGAAAATTAATTGTAAACATTTTCTTAATTGTGATGGAAATGATGCATTAGAATCAGTGAAGATACTTTAAGCACTCAAAAATGAGTGGTTTTCTCTGTTAAGGTCACAAAGATATTCTTTAGTAACAAATATACCTGAAGAAGGCTGATGTAAGAAGATGCTGTTTATGCTGTTGTCTTTTTTGGTAATATCTGAATATGGATGAAGTCAGAAAAAACTCTTGTTACATTTTTCGGGACTTTTGGAGAAAATGTTTGATGTTAACAAGGACTTCTGAAGAACCTCAGAGTAAGATCTTAAAAGAAAAATTGTGGGGAGTTGGGGACTTGAAGGAATCCTAGGTGTGAATCTTCTTCCACAATGAAGAGTTTCATCAGGAAGAGTAAAGAATTTGCAAAATACGAATAATCCATTTATTTCTTGCAGAGACAAGCTGAGTACCTATCAACTGCGGATCAAGATGCTAGCAAAGCATCTGGATTATGTAGGCACTGAAATTGAGAAAGAGGAGGAGGCTGGCAACATGTAGGTAGAGAGTATTTCTGGATACCAAAGATTACAGGCATTCACTAGGCTTATCTGTATGTAATTAATGAATAATGGTGCATTGGCTTGGGGATTGTTAATCTCTAAGCTTTCTGGGCTAGAGGTAATATTCTGTCAGGTAATTCAATGCAGAAAAAAATAAGAATGGATAGGAAAGAGGCATATATTTTAAAATATAAAAACAAGAGGTTATTTACCCACTCCTGTCAATTAACATTTATCAGGGTCACAATCACTTCTGTTCAATGTGATGAACCAACACCAATGTGCTATGGCAATTTCAGTGGTCATGGTTTTGCTTCTCGTAATTATTCCAATCAGGATTCATATATATATCTGCCATTTCTTTGGTTGGTTTGTGTGTCTGATGTTGTGAAATGCATGAATGCCTCTCAGGAGTAGTTCTGCATACAGGAGCTGTGCTGAGACACTTGTGCTGTAAAGTGGGAGGCGATTCACTGTGCTCTTCACATTTGGTTTAAATAGAAAGAAGTGGGTGGCTTGTGTACCAGGCACCAGTGTATTGTGAAAAAACTTTGCAGCTGCATTTCATGACCTGTGTTAATCTTCAAGTTAGTATATTGGTGAATGATAGAATTATAAAGGTGGGTTAGCTACCAAAATGGAATAGCTGCTTAAAGAAAAATGATTAGTTGAATGCTAATGAACTTCTTGATGGGTGCTGGTACTCCCTGTTCAGAGACAGTAACAACTACTAGCAAAGACAGATAAGCATTGTAGTTCTTATGCTTATGATGGGTCAAATTGTGAAGTCTAGACATGCAGAAAAATAACAGTTCTCACAATCTATTACATTTAGCAAGTGAATAGTTGAGTAAAAAGTCTTAATACGTTTCTAGCTTATGCAGCTCAAAGGCATCATGTTTTAGCAATAAAGAAAATACCAGCTACCATTAGCATTACTGATGCCCAGTACAAAAATTCTGAAGTTTGAGTAGTAAGTTCAGGTAGAAGATCAGTTTTCAATGTTAATTTAGAGGAAGGGAGTTTACGTTGAACATAGTTCACTGTTGATTGTGTAGTACGCTGTCTACTGGTTTTCCTGGATAGAGACCACCAAGGATGATAAACAACTGTGTGACAATGCTGCCATTGTAAGTGGAATGCATGTAATATTGTAATACCTTTTTAAAAGCAAAATCATACAGAGTTTTCCAGGTTCACCTGAACTTATTTTCATTAATATTAGTACTTTTACTAGTGAGAAATTAATAGTCATATTAAGTTACAGGTCCGTGCTTTTGAAATCAGTCCTCCTCTGTACATTGAGTGCGGCCTCAGCAAGTTTGCCGATGACACCAAGCTGTGTGGTTTGGTTGATACGCTGGAGGGAAGGAATGCCATCCAAAGGGACCTTGACACGGTTGTGGGGTGGGCTGATGCCAACCTTATGAAGTTTACCATGCCAAGTGCAAGGTCCTACACCTGGGTCGGAGCAATCCCAGGCACAGCTACAGGCTGGGCAGAGAAGAGATTCAGAGCAGCCCTGTGGAGAAGGACTGGGGGGTGTTGGTTGATGAGAAAATGAACATGAGCCAGCAGTGTGCGCTTGCAGCCCGGAAAGCCAACCGTATCCTGAGCTGCATCAAAAGGAGCATGACCAGCAGGTTGAAGGAGGTGATCCTGCCCCTTTACTCTGCTCTTGTGAGACCTCACCTGGAGTATTGTGTGCAGTTCTGGTGTCCTCAACATAAAAAGGACACGGAACTGTTGGAACAAGTCCAGAGAAGGGCCACGAGGATGATCAGGGGACTGAAGCACCTCCTGTATGAAGACAGGCTGAGGAAGTTGGGGCTGTTCAGCCTGGAGAAGAGAAGGCTGTGTGGAGACCTCATAGCAGCCTTCCAGTATCTGAATGGGGCCTATAGGGATCCTGGGGAGGTACTCTTCATTGGGGACTGTAGTGATAGGACAAGGGGTACCAGGTTAAAACTTAAACAGGGGAAGTTTAGATTGGATATAAGGAAGAAATTCTTTCCTGTTAAGGTGGTGAGGCACTGGAATAGGTTGCCCAGAGAAGTTGTGAATGCTCCATCCCTGGCAGTGTTCAAGACCAGGTTGGACAGAGCCTTGGGTGACATGGTTTAGTGTGAGGTGTCCCTGCCCATGGCAGGGGGCTTGGAACTAGATGATCTTAAGGTCCTTTCCAACCCTAACTATTCTATGATTCTATTTCAACCAACGTATAATGGTTTATAGAACGCTTCACTTTTGAATGAAGAACAGATGCTTGGAAGGCAAAATAAAAGACTGCATAAATTAGAGGAATTCTAATACATAAATCTCAGCCTTAAAGCTATTTTCCATTGTTGCTGATCTTGGGAGAGGGGTGTATTAATTTTTAACCTTTATTAGTTCCAGTTTCTTGCTGATCGTTTCTTTTTAATGTTAACAGTGCAGCCTCGTCCCGCCTTTGGGCAGTGCACAGGCGACTGTGCACTGAACTGGAGCAAGAGAAAGATT